TACCTGTTCTCCACCAGCTGTGAAGCGAGCAAGTGACAAGACTGATCATACCATACGTATTCGTTCATTATGTGCCAGTTGTTGTCGCATACTCCCTTCAACAACTGGCAGAGAACTGGGTTTGACGCCGTGGCACACTCACACTGCCTGACACGCCCCTTCATCCGCAGCGAACTAGAGTATGAGCGAACTAGGTTCTTACCCCTAGCGCATCTTTCAAATCTTGAAGTGGACACGAGGCCAAAACGAGACCGCCAAGATTAAGTTGTTGGAATTTGCGTATGATACTGTCAAGTCTATTAGGGGCAATGTCCAAGCGTTTCACAAGGTTACACACAGCATCCAGCTTCATCTCCACGAGCGGGGTATTGACAGTATTCCAAACTTTCTCGTCCTATAATTCAGGTAATAGTAAGGCTTCGTTCACAAAAGGGTGCCATCTTCAACAATATTCAACAGTCATACCCCAAACAGATACTTCGCAACTGGTGGTATCACTACCGTGCCTAGCCCAAGCTCTTTTACTGGATCTTCCATGCCTTGACGCCGTTCTGAAACCAAATTATAGTTTGACTCAAATCAGAAATGAGCCAGTCTGGCTCAGTTCATTTTCTGATGGCTTACTCGGGAACCGTTGAAAACTTTGCCCAACTGTCAAGATCACTGCAAACGACAGAGCATGTGACGCGGCGCGAATCGCAGCACAGACACAGCGCCCTTTTCCACCAATGATACCATCCTGAGTTCGACCAGCTGATGAGAAACCTGTCCAGCTGCGCTCCAAGTCATGCCCGAGTAACACACCCTGCTCCTTTGCAGATCATGACTGTATTTTCCAGCACCTATCCTCTACCTACAGGTAAGCAGTTTCTGAGCCACAAGGGTGACGAAGACAAGAAATCGAGTTTGAATACTTACTCTTCGGTCTAAGACTGTGACAAGACGTACCTCTGATTAATTTCCTCAGATAAGGATCGAGATTGCTGGTACATGGGACAAACTTTTTCACATGCCCAACTGTAAGCTGCTCAGAACTAGGGATTGCCGGCGAATCCAAGAAAGGCCTTTAAATAGCAAATGATAACCAGTGAATAGAGTGATACTAACTGCTCACCTCAAAGTTATCCGGATTCCTATCCAACTCGATTAAGGCGTCTTTCTTCGGGATATGGTCTTTAAGCTGATGATATACCTGAACATATATTAACTAATTTATATTATCAACATATATTAAAAGCTTGTACACTTGAATGCTCTTGATTTGACGATTGTCTCAAAGTGATGAACAGAAAACCCGAATATTCTTGACTAGGGTTCAACGATTGCGATTCTCGAGAAATGCACCGCAGCGCGCATCGGTGGCTGCGTTCATACTTGTCAGGCTTTTGTGCGACGAGGAGGAAAGTATAGATTTTGATCCAGCGTTGTGACCATAAGCAAGCCTTTTCACGACTGCCCGCGAAAGGTGGCTCATGCCGTTTGGACGCGCTGACTTTTGGCTGCGAGCTCATTTCTTAAAGTGCCTGGACAACCAAATCCGCTGAAAACTGTGTATACAGAGGTAATCTAACATCCTGATTACGAATATGACATTCATTCTTGGCGCTGGCGCTAATGGAGGACACTACGATTACCTCCTGGGCTCAGCCTTAGCAGAGCGCAGGTAACCGTAGTGTCATCCATTAGCGCCAGCGCCAAAAATGAATGTCATAGTTCGTAATCAGATGTTAGATTACCTCTATATACAAGTTTTCAGCGGATTTGGTGATTTAGGCACTTTAAAAATGAGCTCGCAGCCAAAAGTCAGCGCGTCCAAACGGCATTAGCCGCGAAAAATTCGAAACTGCCCACAAAACACTACAAACGCTAGTTCGATACCTATGCTTCTCTATTCGCTCATAAAGCTCAAAACGTTGCCTTACACTCGGGACGTCCAAAAGCTAGCGCGAAGCATAATGCCTTTCGTAACTAACAGATATAATGAGCACATCTCAATAGACTACAGCCGCGCCCTGATCCAACTTCAAACTACTACAAGTAC